ACTGGTATATCTGAAGAGGTATTTACAACAGAGAGATTAGTAGTCAAATGAACGCAGGTTAGTCAGTAACAATCAGAAAGAGTATAAAGTCCAACTGTATCTTCCGGTAGAGAGACGGAAGTGTGATGGTCATCTGATCTCCCAGAACTCTATAGAACTGTCCTATTAGTAGTAGAGAGATCAGTCCATTCTGATGAGACGGTGGGTGGCCCCAACAGTAAGTAAAACTTATGAATTATTTCAGAAGTTAATTGTGGTGAAAGAAGGAAATAATATATTTGTTATCCATCTTCCATGAACTGCAAAGTTCTCACATTTGTTGTTTCTGTGTATACTATAGAACAATCTTAATTTCTCGATGAAAAAGATTCTTTGAAATAATGATGAAATGTTTTCTTAGAAGGCACAAGATTACAAAGCCAGAAACTCAAACGTTGTCTAGTAACAAAGGACATCATGAAGACAAAAGAGCAAGAATGGCTGCTTCATCATATTAAGAAACACAAGATTTACTTGGTGGTAAACCCAATAATAATGACAATAGTAGTAATAGTAGTATTAGTAATAATAGTAATAGTTCTTCTATGTGTTATCTCTCTTCAGATGTTTTGCTTTTCTACAATTTCCTCTCCTTTGTAGCTTTTAGTAAAGCTTGTCTTTTTGCTATCACTCTTAATCCCTGTCCTGCCAACCATTTACACAAGCTTATCAGGTAATTTATTTACTGCTTTCTTTTATCTCTCTTACCTTCAATACATCCTGTGAGTGTCAAATTCTCCAGGCTCTCTATCCTTATTATGTATGCTAGAAATTTCTCTTTCTGATTCTAAGTATAAGGAGGATCCTTTTCATTGTTCACATATTCAGTCCATGGTATTCTCAGCATCCATCTGTAGAACAACATTCCTGTTGCTTCACATTTCTTCTTCTTCAGTGATGAAATGGTCCAACATTCACTGCCATATAGGAAGACTGATATTACATAGTAGTAGTAGTAATAATAATGATGATGATATTACTTGTAGTAATAATAATAATAATAATCATTTCTTTGTGCATATAGAGTTTTTTGTGATTTAATCAAAGGAAGAAAAGACCCCATTATTTTCAGTAGGAACTGGAAAGTAGAATGGAGTTAATTTTAAAATATACCATCTGTTCACATACTTATTTTACAATATATAAAATACTACCTCTATGTGTCCTTTCGTAAACTACATCTATTGGATGCTTTAGTTCACATCAGTGATGTTTCTAACTGAGGTTCATTAGGGGTTTTGTGTCTTTCAAAATCATACCCATTCTTCATGGTGACCCAGCCGATACTGATCGGGTATCAACTTGTGTACGTTCAGTCAGCTACAACTTTTTCCATCTTTCAAAATGTACACGATACGACTCTTCTTGGCAATTTATTGTCCAATTGCAGATGACTTCCGGCTCACCAGCAGAATTCGCTCTTCCATAAAAAAAGGAAGGAAACACAGCCACAATTTCTATCTGATCAGGAATATGGTGGCATGCTTGGCTTGAAGTGGTAAGTACAGATTTGATCCCCCACCCCGAGACATATATACACACGCACACACAGAGAAACGCATGCAAACATCACATTCTGCTTACACTTATCCCCATTTTCATTCATGTTAATCATCAGGCTAAGAAAAAGGACAAGAAAGAAAAACTATATATTTACTTTATGTGTGAATTTATAGTTTTTAACATTTGACACATGCAAAAATATAGGAGAGTAGCTAAATATTTAATCATAAGTATTAACTAAACTTAATAAAATTGTGGTCTTGTGCCAGACTATTGGTAACCAATGATGATCAAACTCACTACACATTATTAACAGTTTCTTAGACAAGGTCACTAACCATCACCTAACAACAATGCATCTTGGCTTCATCTTTTTAGTAAGATGACAGGGAGTGAATGAGAGTGAATGGGAATGAGATGAACAATAAAAGAACAGAATTCAGAAAGACAGAAGATTGTGATTGACATTGCATTTAAATTTTTGAAGATTGGAGGTGGCAGGGAAGAGCCAAGAAGTTTGAGAAAAAACTATCAGGACACCTGGCACATTGGATAAAGGTGTTGGTTAGATCCAGTGACAAGACCCAAAGAGTGTGAGTTCAATACCTGGTTAAGGCAGTCAAGAACTTGGAGAGGGGAATTAACAGGAGATAACTGACATCCATTAAACATGGCATGTGAAACTAGAACAGTCTACCCCAGTGAGCAAAATAAAGGGTTCAGTTTGACATTCCAACCACCTGAAGAAGGCTGGCGTGTACAACAGCCGAAATGAATATGGCGACAAAGATGAGGACAATAGTCCAAATAATGTAAATAGTGTACATAATACCTCATCTCAGAAATATAGAGAGATACAGAATAGAACTTATGCTCGTATTTATTTATTTCAACAGTAACATGATGAGACCTAATTGCCAATCTAGTACTACTCTTAAATTCATGTGGTTAAGGTACTAAGGAGGAGAGCTCATTAGAAGAACTACCATGAAAATATTTGTAGAAAAGACAGAAGGAAGATACATCACGACAGTAGGAACATGACTGAAGTCAGGATGCCAGGTCAGAAATGATACGATTACAGATCTTTCTTTGTATTTTGTAGGTCAATCAGTGGAGACTGAATGTGTCTACATAATAGTAATTGTAAGACTAGTACAACAAATATCTAATACTAAAACAATTAAATGTGGCATATTTATTTCAAAATGAAAAAGATATTTAAGTTAATAAGAGAGCCAGATCTTGGATAAAACCCCTTTTGAAAAGGGGTCATGTCATCTGCCAACTGCAGATTACATGACCCCTTGCTACTTGGCAGGATTCTCTGGTGGATAAAAACATGGTGCTGGTTTGGATTATGATTGAGAGATAAGAACTTTGCATCTAAAGTGTTAAGATTTTCAACTGCAAAGACATTTAAAAACCAATAACAAAACATCCAGAATGAAGGTCTCTGACCAAAAAAAGGCAATTCATAGAAAACAATGCAGAAATCCATAGCCACCTGCAACAGTTAAGGAAATTGGCTTCACACCCTATAGAAAGCTGGTTTCCCACTTTTAATCTTTTAACTGCTAACTTCTATCAAAAATTCCTTCATTACTAGTCACTTCCCTATTGGAGAAACAAAAAAAAATCCTTCTCAAGCTTATTAATTTCTCTTGGGTAAATGAGAAGAAATCTATATTAAACAGTAAGAATACTTCTATGATATATTGTCCTTTTGAGAATTTCATTTTAGTAACACCATTAACTTTCTGACATCACCACATATTTCTGATATAGCTAGATAGCACACTACACTACACTATATTATATGCCATCTCTCTTTGGAATATAGGCAATCATGGCTCCCCACAACTTCTTATCCTTCATAGCTTTTAGTAATGTTTATCTTTTTACTATCCCTCCAACTCCTCCTTCAACTATTTGCACAAGATCATTAGTTAAATTACATGTTTCCACCTGTCCCTCTTGCCTTCAGTGTCTTGTGAGTGTTAAATTCTTCAACCCCTCTTTCCTAATTATGTATCCCAAAAAATCAACTCTTTCTAATTTGAACAAGAAGTCACTTTTTTGTTTTCATTTTCCTTAAAACCTCTTATATACACCATCCATAATATTGTCAAACTGCAAGTTTCATCTGTGAGGAAATTGTCCAATATTCACTGCCATGTAAGAGGATTAATAATACGTAGCAGTTCAGGACTATTTTCTTTATTTCTAATGAAATTTTCCTGCTTCTTAATACTTTGTGTAACTTTTGGAAGGCATCTTTTGCTATTCCAACACACCTTCAGATTTTAGTATCACCTGTTAAAATACTTCTCATATTTTTTAAACACCTGTATGCAAATCAAAAAAGAGATATTTAGAATCACAAAGAGACAATTTAAATTTCTAGGGCACATGAGGAAAGGGGGCTTGGAAAATTCAATACTCACAATGCATGTTTAAAGGCACGAGGGACAGAGGAAAGCAGTGAATAATCTACTTTACGTGCTTGTGTAAATGGTTGGGAGAACAGGGATTAGGAGATAAAGCAAAAAGACAAACACTGTTAAGAGCTACAAAAGACAAGAAAGTTGTGGAGAGCCATCATCGTCTATGTCCTGAAGGGAAGAAGTTTGGTTTTGACGTCTCCAATTTTTAAATTGTATCTTGGGCTTTTCTTTTGTTGATAACCATACAATGTCTTCTTACAATTGATGATTAGTCCTTTCTTCCTGCTTTTCTATACTACTTTGTCTAGAAGATCCTTTAGTTTTCTTTCTATGTCTACCATGAACACACTATTATACCTTCTTAACTCATATCCTCTTCATGTCAGTTTAAGCTGACATTTTTATATATATATATATATATATATATGAAGAAAAATATACAGAAAAAACAAAAATCCTTATATGCAATTATGCTGTTTTAATGTCATGTTGAATTGATAATGTTAATTATATTTTATGAATATGTCCTGAAGATGGTTTATTAGACCGAAACGTCCGACGTTGACATTATATTAACATTAAAACAGCATAATTGCATATAAGGATTTTTGTTTGTTTTTTCCGTATATTTTCCTTCATACTGTCGGATCTATAACCATATATTTGCTTTTATATATATATATATATATATATATATATATATATATATATATATATATATATATATATATATATATCCTGATAATTTTACATTTTCTTGATTTTAGAAGAAAACTACAAAAGTTTTTTGTCAGTGAAAATTTTCACTTTCAGAAATTATAGTTTATAATTAATTTAAAGATATAGAAAAAAAGCAGGTGTCAGTTTAAACTGACACCTGGATGATAAAAGTTAATATAAAGTGTGTGCAAACATTTCTCATAATCTTTCTTGAAAGCTAGGGATTCAATACACAGTTAGAAAACTATTTATTTTGCTAGTAAATTTTGCACAGGTGCAATAACAATATTTCACCAAAGTTAAGCAATGTTGAGCCTGGTCAGTACCTGGATGGGTGACTGCTTGGGAATACCAGGTGCTGTAAGCTTTGACATGCGATGGCGTAGTAGATAGAAAAAAATATGTATTTGTATGCTTAAATAATAAATCGTTAATACCTTTTCCGCTAAGTTGGCATTTCTTGGGATGAAAGAAAAGAATGAAATTGTGTGACTTTTGTAAAAATCTGTTATATTTATTGTGTATCTTTTCTTTACAATTTACTATTTAAGGATACACATACATATTTCTCTTGTTTTTGATTTGATGAAGCCTAGTAAGGGCAAAACACAATCTAGTTTCAATGAAATGGTTTTCCATTTGTCATATTCTTCAAACTTATTCTGGACTTTTTACACATAAGCATTTATATAGAGGAATACAGATTTTATATTATATGTAGTTTTAGATGTCTGCTGGAAATTTGGAAAATATATCATATAGATAAGGGAAGATTAATTATTTACATTATTCGGACTATTGTCCTCATCTTTGGTGGTTGGAATGCCTTTATCCACTGTGCCAGTGGATAAAGGCGTTGTTTAGATCCAGTGACAAGACCCAAAGAGTGCGAGTTCAATAGGCAGTGGAGAACTTTCAGAGGGAAAATTAACAGGAGATAACTGATAACTGACATCCATTAAACATGGCACATGGAACTAGAACAGTCTACACCAGTGAGTGAAATAAAGGGTTCAGTTCGACATTCCAACCGCCTGAAGAAGGCCGGAGCGTACAACAGCCGAAACGTAATAAATATGGCAACAAAGATGAGGACAATAGGCCGAATAATGTAAATAATGTACATAATACCTCATCTCAGAAATATAGACAGATATGGAAGATTAATTGTGATAAAAATGTTCCAAATAAATTTTTAATGGTTGTGAATATTTTTTAAATGTAAAAACCTTTTGTGAATTAACCTTTAGCACTCTGAAGTCAACTTTTCTTTATCAAACAAAACGTTTGTCCTGCCAACACTTTCTTCTTTTCTTTTTTATATGCCATGTCCCTTCAGGACATAGATGATCATGGTTCCCCACTTCCCTCTATCCCTTGTAGCTCTCAATAAGTTTTATCCCTCTGCTACCTCCCTCAGACCACGTTCTTTCATTCACTTGCTTAAGCCTGCCAGGTATGTCATGCATTGCTTTCCCTTGTCTCTCTTTCCCTCTATTCAACCTGTGAGTATCAGATTCTCCAGGCCCGCCTATCTCATTACATGTTCCAGAAATTTCATCTGCCTCTTTCTGATATTAAGTACAAGCTTCCTCCTTGTTTGCATCCTTTCCAAAACCTCATTGTTGCTCACATATGATATTTAAAAAAAAAAATCAATGAAGAAAAAATTGTTTTTTTTTTTTTTTTTGTCTTATTTTATTTGAAATGCAAAGTGGCCATTCTCAAGGCTTGGGCAAGGGTTGGTCTCTATGACATCTCAGAAGCCCCAACCTCCCCCCGCCAACACATTTGACCCTCTGCTATTTCTTGTATGTTGTCTTGTTAATTGTTTTCTAACTTATTGTTCTGTTTTTTATGTATCCATTAGCACCAGATACTGGTGCTGAATAAATATATTAAGCATTCATTCTTCTCTGTGTATCATTCACATCATTGATACAACACAAATATTCTTAGTTCTAAGACACAATTTATATTTACTGGAAAAATAGCCATGGTGTCTATTTTACCAGGACCAGCAAAATAGCCTATTTGTTAGTTTTAATGTATTTCATTTAAGTGGAAAGATCATGTTTAATTATGACACTTTTTAATTTGTCAAAATATTTTACTTTACTGATTCTAAGACTGAAGTTGAAAGAAACTAAACAATATTTTTGACATAAATAATATTTATTTTAAGGTAAAATTCTGACTGATATGTAAAAAAAAATGATGCTCCTATATAGCAATAAATGCTGGACAATCTCCTCACAGATTGAGAAGATATTTGAAGCAACAGAGGTTATCAAGAAGGATTGTGAGAATACCATGAACTGAACATGTGAGCAACAATAAAGTTTTAAAGAAAATGGAAACAAAAAGGATACTTATATGTAGCATCAGAAAGGGATGGTTGAAATTTTATTTAGACACAGAAAAAGATTTTTTCTAATTAAATCAACTTTACTACAACTCTTTCATTAGAAACAAAGAAAAGAGTACAGCATTAGAAGTGAAAATAATATTGTGAATAATGCAGAGTGCTAAAAGTTAATAAACCAGAATTAATGAGAAAACAATAAAGAGAAAAATAAAGATAAAAACAAATTGCATATTAAGTTTTTAAAAATTAATAACTGTAAGTAAATTAATAAATACTAAACCTGTAATAAGAAATATGAATTGATGATTTATTAAGTTATTCCAAAAGTTTGTAAATACTTGCAAAAAATTGAAATTTTACTCGCCAAGTAATAACAAAAACAACAAAAATTATTCCTCAAAATAAAGACCATCATTTTCCAAGACTTTCTACCATCGATCTGCAAACTTTCGGATCTGGTGAAAGTACCATTCAGCCGGCTTCGAATCAAAGAATTCTTGACACGCTTCCTCGACTTCATCAAACGAGTCTAATCGGCGGCCCTTCAGAAAGTGTTGCATTGAGCGGAAAAGGCCGTAATCTGATGAAGCACAGTCAGGACTGTGGATGTGGCAGAACCTCAACGCCGTCCAGCTCTTCAAACTTGTCTTTGGTCTTCCTGGTGGTGTGTGGCTTGGCATTGTCCTGCTGCATCAAAGCACGTTTTTGGTTGATCAGAGCTGGGTACTTTTGCTTCAACTTTTCGTAGACTCACTCCAGTTGCTGACAGTAAAGTTCGGCACTGATGGCACGACCTTTCGGAACCAACTCAAAATGCACAATTCCTTCAAAGTTCCACCAAACGCACAACATGACTTTCTTGTCAAATTGATCTTGTTTTGGAACTGACAGTGTCTCTTGCCCTTTCTGAACCCATCGCTTGTCTCGATTGTGCTGGACAGGATAGACCCATTTCTTGTTCGATGTCACAATGCGCTTCCAAAAATTCTCGTCCAATGGATTGCTGAGCAATTGACAGCAAATTTCAACTCGTCTGTTGGCTTGTGCTTCGGTGAGTTTGTGCGGATCTTGGCGTGGCTTTTTGTGAACAAAATCAAGTTGCTTCAAGTGTCAGGGAATTGTCGATTTGCCAACTCCAAGCTCATCAGCCAATTCTTGATAAAGTAAAAAAACAATTAAAAATTGCATAAAAATTCAATTTTTCGCAAGTGTTTACGAACTTTTGGGACAACCTAATGAATATCAAAGATATACAATGATACAAAATAACATGAATTCCCTTGTGAAGTCATTCTTAACCTGCTGAAAGTGAAAATGTTTTTTTTATCTCTCTTCTATATTAAATGAAAATTTCACAAGACTTCGGAAAATCATTGTCAAATTTCTATGACCTTTGTTACATTTTCTTATTTTAAAATATGCAATGCAAATCATTAATAGTATTCTGATGATGGTTTTAATAAACATTGGAATATAAATAAAATCAACTACACTTCTGATTTGTTAATCAAATATTATTTAACTACAAATATCTTTTACACTTTTCTCTATCATTTACGAATAAAATGATTTGTTATTAATTATCTAAATTTTTTATTTCTATAAAGAAAGAATTTATTTATTTGCCCGTTTTGTTTTGTTTTATTTAAAAAAGGAATTATTTTACTGGACCCAGTTTAAAAGGAATTATTTTTACTGGACCCAGTAAGCTTATTTTACTGGACCCAGTCTTATTTGAAATAAGCAGTTATTTTACTGGACCCAGTTATTTTACTTCTTATTTGAAATAAGCAGTTATTTTACTGGACCCAGTCTTATTTGAAATAAGCAGTTATTTTACTGGACCCAGTCTTATTTGAAATAAGCAGTTATTTTACTGGACCCAGTCTTATTTGAAATAAGCAGTTATTTTACTGGACCCAGTCTTATTTGAAATAAGCAGTTATTTTACTGGACCCATTTGAAATCTTATTTGAAATATTTGAAATTTATTTTACTGGACCCAGTCTTATTTGAAATAAGCAGTTATTTGAAATCTTATTTGAAATAAGCAGTTATTTTACTGGGCCCAGTCTTATTTGAAATAAGCAGTTATTTTACTGGGCCCAGTCTTATTTGAAATAAGCAGTTATTTTACTGGACCCAGTCTTATTTGAAATAAGCAGTTATTTTACTGGACCCAGTCTTATTTGAAATAAGCAGTTATTTTAATGGACCCAGTCTTATTTGAAATAAGCAGTTATTTTACTGGACCCAGTCTTATTTGAAATAAGCAGTTATTTTACTGGACTCAGTCTTTTATTTTAAAAAAAATAAGAAATAAAGCACCAATTTTACTATCATTTTCTTTTTTTTGCATAGCTATGTAATTCTGCTCCCACAATTCCACAGTGACTTGTTGATATTTTTAATATGAGACTTAACATTTAATAATCCAGGAATTTCAGATGATCCTAAAAACCATAAACAATCTTAACATTGAAATTACAAGTTTTAATTGTGAAAGATATTTTAAACATTTTGAGAGAAAAAAAAACACAAGGTTAAAAAGAACTGAAAAAGGATAACATTAACACAGCTGTGAACAGTGTGCAAGTCAAGGAATAATTTTATGAACAAGTCAAGATGGTAGCACCAAAAAGAAAAATTATTTTACTTACCTCTATGAACATATTCTAATCTATTTTCATTTTGAACTGGAAAGCAATTGATTCAATGTGCATTCAAATTTCTTTACTAAATTACATTGTGAGTTGATTGGATCTGGAATTTGAAGACCCGATCCAAGCCAACACATTGCTTACTGATCTGACACCAAGAACAGCCTGACTACTTCCATAAAGTGAAAAAATTCTTTATGTGCATTTCCAAGAAATAGCAGCAGTAGGAAAACTAACCTGAATTGAAAGTAACATTTGACGAATTCAATCTTGACATATTAGGAAGCTAAGGGGACTTCATGATCAGATATTGGCTGATATATATTATTTTTATTTT